TTCTCACATCTGGTGCAAAATGAACAAATTGTTAAAGTACTATGAATATCAAGTCACCAAAAGTTGCTTAGAGGGAAGAATCGAAGGTTTCAAGGTTTCTTAGAATAATGAAGCTCGTCGGATACTGAATAGCTAAGAAATGTCACGCTTTTCATCATTGTTTTAGATGGTTGCATCATCACTATTCACGAGGTTGTCACGTGCGATTCTACTTTAATGAAGGTGTTATAAGTTACTGCTTGTTAAAAGAAAAGATTCTTTGCTTAGGCACTAGTTACAAAACTTCGAAAAACTAAAGATATCTTCATACGCTCAAGTTACTAATATATAGATTTAGCCAGGGCTAAAAGCGAAGCTCCTATTAATAAATTTATAATTTCAATCAAACAATGAACTTGTAATCCACAAATCAGTTATCCGCAGTCCAAAAACCGGCCTATCGTGCAATGCCATTAGAGCGCGCTGAAACTAGACCTAGATCCAATTTTCCTGAGTCGAGAGTTGCTTTTCCAAGGTGCAATTTAGCTAAGCTAAACACCGACGAAACAATATTAATGGCTGGCACAGAATATTTTGGCGAAACTGCAGTTCAACCACGCGATCACATACCTGTCAACACCGTGCGGAAATCACACAATCACACACTTTCAAGGCAGTGATAAGACTATCCACAACCACGCATAATCTTCTGACGTTTAACATGAGCGAAATATCATCGAATAACTCGGAAAAACTCAGCCTATTGCCAGATAAACACCTCTGGACTTTTCTCTTACACTCGTCTTATTCAAGTTCCCTGATGTAAAGGCAAACGGTCGGCGGACCACCTTAGCCTTGTTTTCACACCAAAAAAAAACTAACTCTTCACCCGGGTCAAAGTTCACCGGCAATTTTGCTCTCACCTAATTCATTTGACTCCTAAGAGCCTGTTCCCGAAGCCACAGACTTAGTGGTCACCCTAGAAAAGCGAACAATATCGTACCTTTCTGTCTCAGCTCGGATCAGGATGATTGATCCGTTTAGCCAAATGAAACGAGAATATAATACGATATTGGACTATGCAGACTCTGCGAATCGTAATACCTTTGTCCCATCTCAGGGCTTTACATGATGCTCCCCGGGAAACGGAAACTTTTCTCAAGGTGACCAATATTTAAAACTAAACTGCTAAACGGCACCGAAACCAGCTTTAGGCGCGCGCTGATTTCAAATAACTGTCACTTGCGCTTTGTCCTTACTGCAGACAAAATGATTCAATAATTCATAATTTGGGTAACTGCCACTGGACCAAGTGGTTTTTTCAGAAGTAATCAAATGGTTCAACGTCGAAAATGCCACCTCCTTTGCACCATCCTCAAGTGAATTAATTTTTGGTCGTAATAATGATAGAAAGAATCAAAGCTCATCGGCAATTGTCAAAAAGCTCGATTTTACTCTTTTGTTTGCTAAATATTACTTGTACAGAGATAAGTTAGCTCCTAAAGATTTATCTTTGGATGAATTTAAGGCTAAAATCAGTTGGAGGTACGATTTCGAAACACCCCCTCAATTAGTTACTAGGTATCCATCTTACCGGAATAATCTGTTAATTACCAGGTCTAACGTTATTGTGCGAGTTATAACTGCTGTATTATTCTTTCTCGTCTTTACGTAAGTTTAATCCAATCTGTAATATCGTTATATACTTTCTTTTAGTTTTAAATTTTGCAACTGTAATATGTGTTTTGTCAATAAATGTAAAATAAAAAAAAATAAATAAAAAAAAATAAAAAAATAACTGTCACTTGTGTTAAAGAAAGAATTGTGGGTAGGGAAAAATAGGGAGGGGGGGGGTAAGATAGTAAAATCGCTCAAAGTTTTCTTTCTACAGCCTAATTTATAACTAAATATTATTCGGAACGTTCTTTTTCTATTTGAGGTGAGAAAATATATCTTAACGCCTTTTAAAGTTCTGTAAGCTTATATAAAACCTGATACCTTGTCAGATCATTGACTCAAATCTTACAAACGTGCATAAACTTGCCGCATTAACTGTGATCGACTTCATGAAAAGCTATGAAATTTGATATAACAAAAACAAACATCAAATACAATAATTACTCAGGCTTACCATCCGAGATTCAGTTCCTGAAAGCTATCAAGGAAGACAACAGTTGCTTGAGACTGTTATACCCTCTTACGCATTATTAAAGCAGGGTGAAAAACGAAAAAGATGCCATCCGAAATCGGATAACCGAATTTTGACAAGCGGTGCATTTCTCAACCAAAAACCCAATAAACAAACCAGCCAAACCAGCCATGAATAACAGAAGACTCTTGATAGAAGCCGTATTTCATTTTGTACATCCAGTGGAAAAAGACGGTTAAAAACATCACAAGTTGACACAAAACTCTGTCAGCTTCAGCTGTCAAAGTAAACAAGTTTCAAGTGTGCTCGACTTCATGAAATTAGATATAAAAAAAACAAACATCAAATACAATAATTACTCAGGCTTACCATTCGAGATGCAGCTCCTGAAAGCTACGAAGTAAGGTCAGAACCGCTAGAGACTTTTGAACCCTCTTACGCATCAAGCAAGGTAAAAAACGAAAACGATGCCATCCAAAATCGGATTTTCGACTTTGACAAGCGACGCATCTCTCAACCAAAAAAACAGTAAACAAACTAGCCATGAATAACAGAAGACTCTTGATAGCAGCTGTATTCCATTTCGTAAATCCAGTGGAGAAAGACGGTTAAAAACATCACAAGTTGACACAAAACTCTGTCAGCTTTAGATGTCAAAATAAACAAGTTTCAAGATGCTGCATAAATTTTCTGCATGAACTCACCTGTCAAATTTTGACCAAACAGAGTATAGAAATTGGACGTAGAGCGTGACCAACGCGTGACCTTGGTAAGAAAAGGTCTTCCGCGCCTGTATTTCTAATTAAATGGCTGAATTTTCGCGTCCGAGGTTAGTTTGAAGTCAAAATCGTAATAGTGTGGGGCCATAGAGACATAAACACAACATATTTCATATGAATTAAAACATAGAAATGAACTTGAGCCTCCGATCATTTGAAAAACTAGCAAAATTGTCAGCGGATAACTTCAAAAAAGTACTTGACCTCGATGGATCGACATCTGAACCCGCGATACCGTCGGGTGATTCTGGTCAGCGGATACCTTGTCGGTCGGTCGGTCGGTGTACGGTCACGTGATTACCAAATTTTCAGGGATGGGTAGATTTCCTTAGCTATGGGGCTCCGTCCACGCGCGCGCTTCGCTTCGCACTTCTCCGCTACAATTATTATCACAAATACGTGCGTTCTGCCGTTTGCGATAGCCGAGTTAGGTCAGAGATGTCTTAAAGCAGCATCCACACTAAAATATTCGGACGCCGAACTTTTCATGAGCCGAACCTAATACATTGAATTATGTGCATGAAAAGTTCGGCGTCTGAATCAGTTAGTAAGGCCTGTTTCAATTTGGAACGGCTCAGCCGTTCTTTTCGCCTAGCCTGGCCGAGAATTTCGCCTTTGGAGCGACCTTGGAACAGCTTTGATTCAGACGCCGAGCTTTTCATGTACCGAACCTAATGCATAAATTATTATAACGTATTTTGTAAGCAGTTTGACCGAAATGAGCATTTCTCGCCTTTTGAACTTAATTCAGCTGTAATTAAGATCGGCGTCTGAATCAATTCAGCCGATCTAAATAATTTGGGTCGGCCTTAATTGGAATCCGGTTCGGCTCAGGAAGAGATCGGGGTCTGAATCGGACCTTAAACAGCTGTATCAGCACACACAGCGTTTGAATCATGAAGATATTTAATGTAATGCTTTTAAACACCGGTAGCCGTAATAAAAGACGAAAAAATTGTGAGGAATCGAGATGGCGGTCTCAAAGTGCCCTTGTTTGACCTTTAGCAGTGCCATGTTTAATAGCTGCCAAGATCTCATTGGTTCTTAAGCATCAACTCATAGTACCTTCAAACTTATTTACTCCAGCAACAAACATCCGAACATACAAAGCCACAAAGCCACAAACATACATACGCTCAGACCAAAAATAGCAAAACAAACTTGATGATGGAATGATAAAACCATTATTAAACTTGGTTATCGCAAAATATCGTGACTTGTCAGTGGCGAGCAGATCTGGTCGCCACGGACAACTACGATATTTTGAAAAACCTCTTCGAATAATTGTTAATTAGTATCAACCTAAATGGAATAAATCCGGAAATAATTACGAATGCGGAAAAATCTCGTCTAGTGTTAACCTAGCTTTGCTCTAGTTCAGAACTATTAGACTAAAGAGATTCCTTGCAGTTTGCTATTTACAATGGTAGGCGCTGAATGCAAGTCTGACATTGATAGAGTGTTTGGGTAATCGCGGACGTCGACTTCGTCTCGCGTTTTCTATCAAATCGTTGGTTTTTCATGCGAAATCGTCGCATATCAAGAATTGTGGTACCGAGCTAAGTGCAAACAACGCCGAAGGAAACATACTTTTTGGCAGGATAAGTTAACGTTGTCAGACTTGATTGGAATGGCAATCGCAATCGTCTCCTTAACCTTTAAAATCATCGCTTCATTAATGGCTACCGTCGCTACTTCGATTTTCTCGGAAATACCCATGCAGAGGATCATAGTTCAAGTCTCGGGGATGAGGATCAACACTTTCCTGCTCTTAAACACTTTATAAAGAACTACTTTAAATGATTACCAGCACAAAGGTCTGTAAACTCAATCTGTAGGTCATCTCCTTCTCCTTTAAAAAGGCAACAGAAAAACAGTCTTAACTACAACATAAACAGGATAGTCGGTGGTAAAAAGTACCGTGTGTGGTTCTAAAGTTTGAATCTCTTGTGAAATCCCTCTACTTTGATGAACGTTATTTAAACTAGGTAATTTCTCTCAATGAAAAAATCATCAACTTCGTCTATCAACAGCTTGAGATTATCATGCAATCAATTCAACTTTTCACTAATGTCTCTCAAAACGTTAGCTTCCACTCAATGAATGGAACAGAATAGAAGCCACGGTAGCAGTAGTTTTGTCCCAGCGTCTGTTTACTACACACTTCAACTCAATTATGCATTATTTTAATAAATGTTTATCTCTATAGATTAACATTTGTTAATAAACTGAACAGAGGTACAATTCAGATCGATGATGACGCTTTAGGTTCAAGGATAGGTGCGACTTTGGCTACAACCCTTGATCGTAACCAGGTGATTTTGTCATACGTTTTTCAGTTCTGCTAGTTGCTCGATGTTTAAAAAAGTCATGAATTTGAAAGTTTTAAAGCGTTCCGATAAAACAAAAACAAAAAACAGAGACGAGTGTTCAAGTTATAAGAAATAGGAATTCATATAATCTTGGCCTGTAAGCTTACCTGCGGGGCCAACTTTCTGAGTATAGTTATCAGGTCCTGGCGCATCAGTTATTCTTGACGCATACACAGACACTGTTCCGTATTGTGGAATTATCTATAACAGAGTTAAAGTTAAGGTCTCGGTAAATGAAAATTTTAGTACATTGCTCGATTTTGTTTTTTTGGGATTTTTGGCATGAGTGGGTCCTAAATTTTATTTTGGCAGAAAAAGAAAATCAGAAAGTGCTTTTTAACCCTTCTAAAATGAGCTTTTTCTGAGCTAACCAGCCAAGCGTGGACCTCGCGCTAAGTCTTTAGAGCTGATTTTCTCTCACTCTATTTCAGACGCAAAAATCAAAATTCTCCGACCTCCTGTCGGGACAGGTTTTAAGCTATCGCTTTGAAACTTTCAGATATGATGGATAATGATATAGACTCAAAAAAGGTGTGAGGAATTTTCCGATTTCCCTTTGTAACTCATTTTATGTCAGTTTCTTTGCGTAAATCGCGCTCGAGATTCGACTTTTTAGTTTGAAATGTAATAATTCCCCTAATACGAGACATATGCAAATTTCCTCACACCCTTTTTTAGGTCTTTTATCCGTCAATCAGATGCAATAAAAAGAAAGTGAATATTTAACAACGCGAAAGGGCTGGAGCTTCAGCAGTAAACTCGATACCTCTGAGTTCGAGAGCAAAAAACTTAAGCGCCTTTTGAAATTCGATGAAATAAAATATTTTATAAGGTAATTTAGTCTTTTAGCTTTAATTTGATATATAACTTGCCTTTGTAGCGAAAATACTCGCGCAACTAGAATTTTTCTCTGTGGGCACCTCGTTTTCCTTTACCGAGACCTTAAGCAGCCTTGAAATCCCAGTACTGGACACGCTTGGATCAAGTAGGTTCAAAATGTTTCGAACTTTGGAAATTATAACATTATTTCAAGCTTGTATGATACAAAGTTGGATCGGAAAAAGGAAAAACGAACACCTCTTACATCGATATATATCTTCTCAACTCCAAAGAAGTGCTCCGCGGATAGGGTGAAGAATCGAGCCTTGTTAGGAGAAACGAAAGCCACGACTTCTGTGGTGTCACCCGTGTTGGTGAAATTAAGACCCATGTACACTGGTGCTGAAAAAAAAAAGACCAAAACGTTATACGGCACTCCAAATTTCAACCCCACTAAGTCGTACAACATGAAAAAAGGAACATTTTGTGGCAGTTTTGGCCGTGTACCGGGAACTGTTCAATAAGATAAAAACCACATTCAAATTACGGATAAGTATCTGGCAGAACAGAGTTGCGCGGAAGTTTATGGCAGAAAAACAGCTTTCAGAACAGGAGCCAGAAAAATCCTGTCAGAGAAAACCCAATATGGATAAAACACTCGGCAGGAGATCTGACTAGGGACTGGATCAAGCCCTAAAAAACCCATTCTGCGAAGGCCACAAGGTTCGACCTTTCCCGCTTCGTCCAACGAAGGACAACATACCTGAAAGTAAATATCTCAAAGCGACCACAATAAAATAAAATAAAATAAACGAGCTGACGACTTAAAATCCCATGTGACAAACATCTCGTGGAGTCCTCTAACCTGCTATTATAAAAATAACTAAGATAGTACGCGCACTCTGATTGGCCGAGAGGCGTGTTCACATGAGAGTATGTAAACATGGTTGTGACGTCAAGTTGTTTTGCTGTGCGCACGGTAATGACGCAAGCACGATTTTGAAAATGTTTTGAGTTGAAAAACTGGACAAGTTTACTTTATTTACTCATTTCCCCGTCGTCTGAAAATTGGAAAATCTTTAGAAACATGCTGTGTCAATTTGTTTGTGTTGAAAAATTATCTTAAAATCGTTCACGCGATTTTTCAACAAAGAGAAATTTCGTATCTCAAAAAGGCCATTGTATAAATACCAATGAAATTCCAAACCACAGCAATGGTAATCTTTTCACGTGAGAAAGGTAACTTGTTATTTTCACGTTGGAAGCTAACTTGTTATTTTGACGTGTGAAGATGCCATGTTATTTTCACGTGTCAAGATATCATGTTTTCGTGCGAAAACCCACCTGGAATTTCAATGATGTTTAGATAAATATTTTGTTCTCAGTTCCTCCCAAAGCTTGAAATCATGCGGCTTCCGATCGGTAACTGAGAGATTAGGCTATCTAATTACTTCGAGAACCGATCCGTTCTTTTCCGAAGGATCGTTATGTCTCTTAAAAAGTGTTACTACAGTCAACTCCCTTTATTGTGGACACTGTAGGGACCTCGAGTCAGTGTCCTCATTAGCGAGACTCCGTAATAGCGGGAGTTTATTTCAGTCAAACGTCTGTAATTTGATTTCGCGGGGATTTAGCTGCTGTCCGTTTTATTGGGGTGTCTGTCATATCGGGATGTCCGCAAAGCGAGAGCAGACTGTATATAATGGCACACTTACCACTGCAGGCTTTCCTCCTTAGTGCCTTTACCAATTCGAGAAGCTTATCAAAGCTCTTGGCAGTAAAGACGTGTCTTTTTCCGTCGGTCGCAATGAACTTCAACTCATTACGATTGTACGCACCAACCCCCACAGCAATTATCGTAAGGTCTAAAATGAAACATGTCAGATTATGGCCAAGAACAGTATTTTTTGTACTAAGAAGAGGTCTTTAGGCTCCCCACAAAATTGAGTAGAAGCCTGTATGGTATGTAAATATGGTATGGTTTGGTTTGTTTTGTTATTGCCCCCGGCAGTGATTTCGCCCAGAAGGCGAAATCCCGAGGAGGCACTCTAGTAACTCGCGCGTATATTAATGAAAGTACTTACAGTTGAAATTTACAGTCGTACAGTCAATATAGAAAAAATCTCCATTTGCTTGAACAGGGGCCGTGAGGAATCGGTAGGTAATGATGACGTTTCTATTGTTTGCGCCCGCAAGTACAAAATGGTTAGGATGATAAAATCCCGAAGGGACCGCTCAGGTAGATTTTGTGATATTTATTGTGCAGTCATACTTCGATACTCTTTTGCGTTACGCAGTGACATTCTGTGGAGCAGTTGCTTTGAAAGTTATGGACCAAAAGACACTCGTTAAGCGCTGATGAGGTTATAAGGTGCGTTTAACTGTATATATATAAACACTGGGAAAGTTTGCCAGACACGAGTTCGCAAATCTTTGATTTATATTGGAAACCTTGCCAGACACTCTTTCTCTCTCTTTGACCGGAATAAGACTCAGCCCCAAACAAGTAAGACGAGTGAACAACGGCTAGCTTATCACTAGCAGAACGATGGACGATTACAGACATTCGCTGACAATCAAATTCTGTGCTGACTTATTCCCTGCTCACAGATGCCCAAAGTTTCAAATAAGACTAGAAAGCGCGAGCGTGAATCGATCAAAAGTCCTTTTAATTTCTAAGGCTTACTTTCCGGCAAATAAAATGAACTGAATGTAAAAAGTGAAAGAGAAATAGCGAAAACTTCAACTTCTACTTAAATCTTTTCTTATGGTTTAGAATAAACTATTTTCGAAACTGAGAACTGTAAACTGTGCAAGGAACCTTGCGTTTCCTGTATTTATGTCACCTATTTTATGGAATCTGTGTGAAAATCTTCATTATGAATCGGTATATTTCAAAGAGCTACACAACGAGCAAGAATACTATTGACCGGCAATATACAGAACGGGGGCAGCTGTAGTGTCAACTATAACTAGTGATACTTTAACGGAGCACCATGGGTAATCGAATTTGGTTATCTGTACTTCTAAGAAATTATTCTACGTCGGCCTCTTCACGTTAGCGAATGTGAAATGTCACTTTTTAATTTGGACTCCTAGTCAAATACAATGTGATTAACTTGATATAGGACATTCTTTTTATGGTCAATTGGCAGCTGTTAAAATAGGATAACCGCTGTCCATTGTCACATGCTTAGGCGTACAACTAAATGAGTTGACGTTTTTTTAAAGTTTTCCGCTGACCTGTTATTGGTTTTTAATTGATCACAATCTCAGGGCCATTTTTCCCGAAGGAATTCAGTTTCTTCTTGCTTAAAAAATTCGCCGCGAGAGTTTCGTTTTCAGCCTTGGCTAAATCTATAAAAAAATGTTAGATTTGATCAGGAATTCAATAATCATGGAGCGGAGATCATTTCACCGTATACGACTCAAAAAGAAACCTGATCTATTTGCTGGGTGTGTTAGTGGAAGCACAGTGATTAAAGTGGAATTGTTATGAAACCCGTTAGACTCCTTTGTTATATGTATTTGTTAGCTTTTTTGGACCTGACCGTGCACAACGTTCAATAGCATTCCTATCATTTTAAACTCACTGACAAACAGAAGCATGGCATTAATTTATTCAGTCACAATTTATGAAGCAAAAACACAGGATTGTGCAAAGACAGGGAGCTTCCAACATAAACTACAGCACCGTTGTTTTCAACTTTGATGTTTGCCGGCTTTCATAACCAGTCTCCCCTACTAACTATGGTGGAAGCGAGCAGCTGGAAGGCTAAACTAACCCTTTTGCGGTGAAAAAGTTAGGTCCCTACCATACAATTTGGGCAACAAAAAAACTTAATTTACCTTCTCTGAAGACTGCAGACAGAGTAGTCTCCCTCGCAGCCGCTCAGGCCAAAGTCACGCACGGGAGAATTACGTGACTCGATCCGGAATGGCAAGCCCAAGCCTAACAAGATCTAACAAGATCTAACAAGCATCAGATAATACTCTTTAAGTGATAGGACATGGCAGGAAAGAAGCAAACATGAAAGCAATATTGAAAAGTTACCTGGTATATCATTTTTCAAATTTTTTACGGCACGATCCAAAGCCGTTTTGTCACGGTCGTTTGATTTTCCATCTGTGAGTAAAATGACGATCTAAAAGTAGAAGTAGCAACAGCAAGATAAAAATCGTTGAAAGCAAAAAAAACACGCTCAAGATTAATAATAACAAGAGAATCTGCGCTGTCTAAGGTAGCACGGCGTTTGAAACCAAGTCGAGCTACTGCCGTGTAGCACGGAAAGGCTTGCCACGACTTGGTTTCAAACGTCGCGCTACTGCCGTGCTAAAGTCGATCAACTGAGTTTGGCACGGCGGTAGCACGACGTTTGAAACCGGCCTAAGTTCCTTTTGCTGTTTACACCGAATCTTCAAGAAAATTCTTTTAAAAAAGACAATACTGTGAATCCGCTACCGTGATCAATTGTGTAAATGAAAGGTAAAAGTGTCCTCTACAACTTAACCCTTTAAATCACGAGCTCTGATAAAAATTCTCCTTTCGGCGTCTTCATATTACGTTGGACACTAGTTAAGGGAATACGCCGATCCAGGAAAAAACCGGAAGTTGCATGGAAGCGAGGCCTAAGGGCCCTTCGGCCCTCGCGGCGCCTGGCGGTAAAAATAAATGGTTGTCGAAGAAAGTTTCAAGACGGAGCAAGTAAATATTGAAGTTGTCAAATTGACACCTTAGGAAAGAACGGGAGCTTAAAAATTTGCAGGTTGAAAGTAAACCAGGCAAAATTCTGATAAAAATGTAGAAGAATAAACCAAGTTGGTAACAAGAAAGTCCTTTACGAAAGTTAAGTTTAAGGTGAAATGATTTTATAACTTTACAAACGACCGAAAGATACGATAAATTCATTTGTTTCCTGGCCCAGAGAGTCAAGAACCTTAATGTTATGTCTCAAAATAGAGATAAAGTTTATGATCCTGACCTAGGCAAAGGCTTCACCAGGCCCAACTCCAGTGTCAATACTCAGTGTTGTTCCACTGACCGATACCCAACATCACCTTAAGGATTGCGGCAAAATTACTGAAAAAATCTCTCTCTACGTATGCCATTGAGGAAATGTTGTACATGATCTTCATCATGAAGTATCTAAACCCGTTGATAACGACGTTTTTTACGTTAGGCCATGGCTTTTTGTTGTTCCTCCTACAAAAAATATTGTGTCAAATATAAAGCACGTATGATTGTTAACCCAGTTGGAAAATCCAAACTTATGACTAGCCGCGTATGATTTATTATGTCCTGCTGGTAGGAGCGGCTGTAGTTGCCATGTCTTGACAGTTAAATGGAAATTGGATGAAATGTCATGGAACAATGAAATGAAAATTAATGCGAGAATGACGTTCCCTGCACTTCTTTGTCAAGAAAACGGGGAATTCCAGGTAGACGAACAGTGGAACATTAGCGGTCAATCATGGCCTTAAAGCTTATCAAGCCAAGGCATCATGCATACACACCAGGTCATAAGAGGGAGGGCGTGTTGTCTACTTTTTATGATCCCTGTCCTTTGAAATTGAGAACGTTAGACCCCTAGGCTGTTGAAAAATTCAAAGTGAACATTGTCAGAGTTAACAAAGGTCTTCCCTTTTAAAAGATGAATCCCAATGTTTCTGATATAGTACTTATGAATTCCCTAATTGAAATTGCCGCTAAAGGATTTGCTCTACAAATGCAAATGAAAGATTTTACTCACATCTACTTCTTCTACAGACAATAGTATATATACTTCTGTTCTCCAACCAAAGCCATATTTAACAAATACAACAGTGACTCAAGTCAATTTAACAATCACTACATGGTTGATGCGACCACAAATCAGTTTCAAGATCTCATGTGTCAAAAAAATACAATCTTGTCTCAATGAGCCAATTGAACACAGTCAACAATACAGATACTGTAATTGACCTGAACTTGAACACAAATCATTTGATAGATCAGCCCTTCAGCATGGATCAACAAGGAATTGTTTCAGCAACAGGTACCTTTTATTATGGCATCATGGAAGGAGAAATTAGTACACCTTTAGAACTTTTTTGACCAATACATTTTACCAGAATTACCATACCCCAGGCTCAAGTTTGGCCTGTGGTATGACCTCAAGTTAGAATAGTTTTTGTAAATCAAGCAAGTTGGCTTGGGTTATTGTTAGCACAGGTCCTTTATTCACTCTGATCCTACATGTGAAGAATCCCTTATTATAATCTATCTGAACAAATTAAATGTTTGCATACTTACCATAATTGTCTGTGATATTATACCTTATATCCATTCCCTTCCCCCCAAAAGTAAAAATTTCAAAAACGTTTTTTCCAGGTGTATTTATGAATGGAAAACATCGTCAGTATTCACCTGAGTGACATCTCTCACACTGCTATAATGCTATAATAAGTTAGACGGGAAATGCTTGGTTCTATAATACTTCCAAAACGCTAAACGTAAAGTAAAGTTTCATAATCTCGAAACCCAGTGTAGACTAAGTGAATATCATCTGGGTTTTACAAAACGCGTTCAAAAACAGACCAAACGTGAAAACTTAATCCTTCTTCGTTGCTTTAGGAACTTATTTTTTTAAGGATTTCCACTTCTAAACGTTTCGCCTCAGCAAATTGTTCGATCGCTGGATGACCTATAAATTAACAGCTTGTACTTTATCGTTCAATGACGATTCTTCTGACCTTTTTTTTTTCTCATGGGATACTTTTCCTTATGTCCCCGTTATTCTTTAACATTTGATTTCGCTGAAGACGAAGCTGAAACAGCAAGGGATGCCGCCTGTTTTTAAGTCGACCTTTCTATGTCCGGCGAGACTAATTTTGTAGTCGTTTGGTACGAAATGCTCTGAACAACAATATTCCTTTTTCCCATCTTCTACTTGATTCAGGATCTGATGAAACGTTTTTGGTATATAGGTGATATCCGGCCGATTTTCACTTCGATTATTTTATGTGGGTGCAGCACTCGTCTTATTTTGCTTACAAGAATCTTGTTACGTCGCCATTTTGAGTATGAGGGCCCTTAGGCCTCGCTTCCATGCAACTTCCGGTTTTTCCCTGAATCGGCGTATTTGGGGAATATGAAGATGAAATCCTCTAGCTGATGCATTTGCCTTGTCTCGTCACGTGTTTGCTGATTGACGAATCGATGTTGAGAAGTTAGATGACAACCACTTTTGGGTGTTGCAGGGTTAATACTGCCGAAAACTACTTTTTTGTGAGCGTTTATTGTATTTGCCAGTGTGCTGCAAAGTTTGCGTTTGTGTTGAAAATTAGCACCTTTCAAGAAAATCATCTGCATTCCAAAGTAACAAGTACAACTTGGAAAACGATTTGTCAAAAAGTTAGCAAGTCAAAATGGCAGTGGCGTAGCTCTTTTGCTAGGGAAACGTTATTTCCATTGCAGATTAGTAGCTAGGCTACGGCGAGATTGCCCCCGTTGATTATTACCTGAACCGTTTCCTTTTCGCTGACCGGATTATCAATGGCAGGTCTCAGAACATTGTGATGAGCAACTTCTAGAGCCTTTCCAGTGTACGTTTTACCCCCTAGGATAAAAAGAAAGTTCACTGTAACAAACCTTTAGCAAGCGTTGAGACAATCTTTAACACCCATTACCTTGTATCTTTGACGACAAAGGCCTACGCGTGAACTCCTATACCTCAAAAATGAGTTAACTACACTGTGTTGAGGAGAATCAATCATGATACGTTCTATGATACGTTCGATAGAGTACACAATACCTGCTTCCAATCAATGCCAGGCTTATTATTCAACGAAACAGCTTGCATAAAGGAAAAAGCTTTTCAAATTATCTTTCAAAACGCTGGAAACTGTAGAGAGGTTTTCACATTATTCTAAATGAAACACTGAATAAACGAAAAAATATGGAAAGGGCAAAATTAATCCTATAACTGCATACATATATCCTACAACTGCAAAAATAGTTTTGAAGAGAGAAGGGGTAGTGCTATCTTTGGTATAAAAATCGGGGAACAGAAGATCCATGCGCAAGCTTAATAAATCGATTCGGTTTGGGCAAATGGTAAACAAAATTCCCGACTGGTAAATTCCGTCCCGGAATCGCGCTTACCATTTGTACAAATCAATTCCGTTTACCAAAAAAACGACTACGAATGCCTGAAACTGATATCAAAGATGGCTTTGACGAAATAGAACACAAATTTCCAGGAACAAAGAAAAATCTGAAAAGGTACGGTAGTCCGTTTTTTCCTAGCCTAGTCCGTTTTTTCTCATGGCTCCTCGCCGCCAGGGATGTTTCGCCAGGAGTAACGTCAGCGACTTAGCGACAGAAATTCCATACTGATGACGTAAATCAGTGTTTACACAAAAAATCCTGTCGCATGGGGTTCAAATGTAAATTGCTTTGATTTTATGTTTCTCCTGGTCGATTACGATAAAGTTTTGTGATCTTCTGCGAACGAGCTCTAGCAAAACTCAGATGGGTTTTCTAAAGAACAAAATATTTTAGGAATATTGGCTGTTTTGTAGTTGATTCATAACGCTTACATTTGACCTTTGTGGCCTTATGTCTTTTGTCTGTCGTTCTTAAACATTAGGTAAAACAATATAACTATTACGTCTACCAATCGGAGCTCCTGACCAGGTTCCGGACAGATTTTACGTCATCAGTATGGAATTTCTGTTGCTGAGTCGCAGACGTTCCTCCTGGCGAAAAAGACGAAACGTCCTTAGCGGCGAGGAGCAAGGAGAAACGGCTGCATTCGCAGGCTAGGAAAAAACGAACTACCGCACCTTTTCAGATTTCCCTTTGTTCCAGGAAATTTTCCGCTGGAACAACCCAAAAAGTCGTGTTTCATTTACTTTCCAACCGGATTTTCCAGAACGTTTTTGTAAATGGTAAACGATCACTTAAACTGTGGAAAGTTGATACTTACCATTATATTGGAGTGTATCTACTGCACACATTAACCTGGTTTTTGAGCCATAATTATCGAGCGCCACGGCAAGTGTAGGACTGGTAGAGTACTCGATAATTGCCACGCGAGATTGTACTGGAGAAATATCAAACGCGTCAATGATATTCCTGGGTAACAAAAGTTAAAGGCGTTAACGGAAGAATTGATGTGCACTGCTGTGATTATTGACTTTAAGCCACTTTTTAAGGTGTAAAATTCTATAGGTAATGAGCTAAGCGTCAAGGTAATGATGACTTTTGTTTTGTCGAGGTTGCAATCTGGAACTAAAACGAAATTGAAACAAACAAACAAAACAGAGGACAAATATTTTACAACTTTAAGGTGGCTGATCAATGCATATGTTATGTCCAATCTTTTTTCTAGATTACGAAAATTCTCAGTTCCGTTTAATTTTGTCTTTTGTTTTTCTCCGATAATGATGCCTTTGAGACAAAGGAAAATATACATCATACAAGTAAATTCCAAACAAAACAAATTTGAGACAGAACGTATACCTCAGCTGATCACTGAGAAAAATTCACTAAACTAACATTTATATGACATTAGGGGCGGTTACACCAGCCGTTTTACCCATGGGCATATGGCTGTTGACCACGAGGAAGCAGCTTTTGGTGTATGACGGATTTGTTGACCACGTAACCACAAACATGAAAGTGACCAAACCCTTAGCAAGCCTAACCCAAGCTGTTTCCCCAAGGGGAGCTTTGAGGAAAAGGTCTAGTGTAACCACACATATTACAACCCGCTGGAATCGAAGAAAAAAATAGGAATTGTACAATATTCTATCTTAAAACTGGAGAAGGCGATTATAAAGAGGCTTTTCAGATGAACGAATTGAGACACGTCAAAGGTCATAATCACAGAATCACATAACGTGGGTACTTTTTTGGTACTTTTTTACCAACCTCACAAACTTCTTTTCCTTCTCGTAGTTGCCACCTAGAATGCTTCCCGACTCATCCATAAGAAATACTATGTTCGCTGGAATTTCGCAATCTAAAACCAATAACACCGAACGTTACAATACAATAAGGGCACCATTAACGGAGGGAATGGTTCAAACTCACAGGTCATGTAAGGGTTGTACAAATTTTGTATACCGCAAACATTGACTTTAGCCCAGTCAGCAGAATTAACGACTTAACAGTACAGTACTAGTATTAAATCTGAACTAACAATTTAGCGACAACTGCTAATAAAATGTTTACTTAGACAAGAACGATCACAGTTACTCGGGTTGTCGAAACATCAGTCAATCTCATCGACTGCCCTATTAAGCCGGAGGATCACATCCAACTTGTTTACGAAATGTAATGAATGGTAACGTTGACCAAAATATGCGTTGAAAAGCAAGGAAAAATTACCAGACGTTTCAAGGGTGCTCCTTTTTCCTCAGTGGTTTAAAAGCAACTGAACCTTTAAACCACCGACGAAGAAAGAGCACGAAAATGAATGTCAACCAATTCGCCAATTTGGTATTGCCCATAATAGATCTTGTTTGCACCCCCAAAATTTTGCATAACAATTGTCTTCAATTTCTTTTAAATATGACAGTCTTCCCAAGAAAAATAAAAAACAATGCTTATTGAAATTTCTGGGTTCAAACATGGTATATTTTGCGCAATGCGCTCATAGCAAATTTCGAAAAACGTGTTTTCTTTTTCTCTCTCTTACCATCCTGATCTTCGTCAGTACAAGTTGTATTCCCTATTTCTTTATCTGTAAGAAAAAAAAAAATGGAAAGAGTCAAGCAGTATAATGACCCTGATAGCATTTAAAATAATTAAACAATGTAATGATCGTGGAAAAGCCACAGTTTTTATGCCTAAAATTTGGAAATACTTCGTCGCACATTTATCGCCCAAGAAAATTGGCTAAACAATTATAGCAATTATTTAACCTTCTCAACATGTTCTGTGAACAATGTATAAAGACGGCAAACACAAATGGATGGAAAGGAATCTTCTAGATAGATATTTATAAAAAGGAGAAAATTATTGACTGCTCCCCCCCCCCTCCAAAAAATTACACCAATCTCTAGCGTCTCATTTTAGCGACAATTTCCAAAGACAAGCGTAAGAGACTAGAGGACTCCTCGGTCGTTCTCCCTTTCGTAAGGATCTTAGCAAGTAACAAAGAATGGAGAGCTATTGGTCTACTAGGTCACATAGAAAAAAGTTAGTGTTGAGTCAGAGCAATTTAGCAGATTAAGAACCAACCAATAAATGAAAAATTCTCGTCTACGAATACGGCCGTCTCTCGTCACCCCATGGGAACATCTGTAGCGGTAAGGAGCGAGGAGAGACGGCTGTATTCGCAGACTAAGAAACTTATTTCTTACCTAAATACAAGTAAAACTTGTCATTTACATTCCTGGCAATGTTCGAAATGTCGTTTTCCTTGACGTTGGTGAGTTTTGAGGTATATTTCTTGTAGTACGCGTGCGCGAATCCTTCAATCTGCCCAAGAAGTACCTCGTCTTCAATGTCAACTAATTCTTTAAATTTAGCTTTTCTTCGGCATTTGGCGTATGACGTATCATACAGAATTCCTATGTTGTAAAAAGGCAAATTGCAGATCTTTAATTATTAGGTTAATTAATACGTAGAAGACCCGTAGAAAGCCATTCGCGGAAGCCCTACCAATAATTCTTCTTCTTTTGCTTTCTTTTATTTTACCACAGCTTTCCACGTTGCAACAGTTCAAGAGTTGATTCATGGTTACAGCAGCTAAATTTAAAGTCAGAAATTTTAAAAGCCCTCACAATCTAAAAATTACGTCTTAAATTTGATTTAGGATTACAACTGCCAAAGCATGTTTTCTAACTCTTCTGTAATTATGTTTTGGAAAAAGCACATTAAATTATTAGCAAATTCCACAGGACAACCGTTTTCGTCAACAGAAGGTTAATGACCGTCATATGGCTAGAAACCGACAAAACCAGTTTAAACGTCAAAGTGCAAGCACATGGTCGTATTTCCCCGTATTAAAAAAACACTAGTAATAACAATGATATGAATAGTAATCACATTTATTCAACACCAGAACCAAAAGCAGCATTGCCAATTAGCATTTAAAACGTACCTGACCCATAATACATCCTTAATAACTGACCCAGACGAACGCCTTTGCCCTTCCAAGCAGGTACACCATATCCCAAGAGAAAACCATCAATATCACCTAATATTTGTGCGTCAGTTGCCTTAGAAACCCGGCCTTGGTTTAACTGATAGTCCTTTGGGCATTTCATGTTAGGAGACCAGAAACCAGACGGCCCAAGATTGGAAGAACCAGAATTCGAACTGACTAATGCGCTTACAGCAAGATCGTAAGCAATGGTTGCAGTGTACAGGTTGTCTACAAGTAACGGAGCTCCAGCGGTCCACTTGTTAAGAGACATGCTCTGATCTCGAACCAAACCAGCACAAATGCCTGTGATCACGTGACCCATCGCTATGGTTTCCCCGTCAGGTGACAATACCACGCCCCCCTCCCTATTAGAGTTGTCATCGAAGCTATAGGTGACCATTTCAGTCAGGACGCGTTTCTCTTCTGAATTTAGCACACCATCGGGGAGAGGGTTTGCTTGCCCACATAGGATGTTAAACAAATCATTGTTGTAGCCAAGCTGCCGGACGTAGTTTACGATCTGCTCCAAAGTATCGCTACTGGTATTCGTGTGGCGTTCAATCTTTTCAACGAGCTCGATAAAGTGGTCAAGTGTGTAGATATCGTAGATTATGGATATTGAACGCTTGAACCTGAAAGCAACGTACAGCAATCAACAACTACATTTAAGGGGTAATGCAACCACTGAGATCATGTCATAATGCTGTTAGCCTGAGATATCGACGCCATTTACGATGCAGGTTATTTGCAGGTTAAAGAGTAACGTCAAAACGATCGGTATGATTTTTTTTATTTGAAATCCTGTACCTATTTACACCCAAGGGTCTTACTTTCGAAAACGATTTTAAAGAAAAGGATTAAAATTGTATTCCGTGGGCTGTACTTTAACAGTCTAAAAATCGGTAGAGAAAGGAACGTTTGCAGTACGGAGAAGGTTCAAACTTTTTTTTCTCTTGTCGGACAATGGATATTTGTTTGACGGGACAGGAGCATGAAGGCGTTACATAAATGTTTTCGTATGAAGTCAAAAGATTTCTTGCCAGCTCTGTCGTTTACATTATTATGGTCTAACACACCTGTCCAGAGGAATGTTGTCATCTTTAGTAGCTGCCGAGTCGATGTTTTCTGAAGTAAATACAAAATTATCATTTGCTTCTTTCACAAGAATAAATAATTGAGTGTCGATTAAGTACTTTAACCCTTTTTCTTCAATTACTTTGTACAGATCGGTACACACCAGGCGACAAGTTGCACCAACATGCCGTTTACTGGAGAATGTTGTGAAACTCTTTGTTGCAGCAACATGTCGCGAAAAATCAAATCAGACAGAATATGGTGGACTTGTTGCGGGGATTCTGTTGCAGAGACAAAGATTTTCACCAAAAATGGATATTTGTTTGACGGGACAGGAGCATGAAGGCGTTACATAAATGTTTTCGTATGAAGTCAAAAGATTTCTTGCCAGCTCTGTCGTTTACATTATTATGGTCTAACACACCTGTCCAGAGGAATGTTGTCATCTTTAGTAGCTGCCGAGTCGATGTTTTCTGAAGTAAATACAAAATTATCATTTGCTTCTTTCACAAGAATAAATAATTGAGTGTCGATTAAGTACTTTAACCCTTTTTCTTCAATTACTTTGTACAGATCGGTACACACCAGGCGACAAGTTGCACCAACATGCCGTTTACTGGAGAATGTTGTGAAACTCTTTGTTGCAGCAACATGTCGCGAAAAATCAAATCAGACAGAATATGGTGGACTTGTTGCGGGGATTCTGTTGCAGAGACAAAGATTTTCACCAAAAATTATCCAGTACACACGAGGCGATTCACGAAGCGAAGCCATGTGTCGCTGCAACGTGTTGCTGCAACTAGTCGCCCGACCCGCACAAGGAGTGATCTGTCGCCGCGACTTGTTGCAAATTGTCGCCTAGTGTGTTCTGACTTTTATGATCACCAAAAATTGCACTTCGAACCAAGATAAGCCCAACTATCCTACCATTTTTGGTTCAGTAAGATGAACTTCGCTGCTACGGTATAAATATTCAATCATATACTTTTCAATGATAGCAGTTTTGATTGTTCACATCTACATCTTCATTTTCCCCTTGCGTTTTAATTTCCTCGAGCCGATAACAAATTATGCCCCAAAGACGACTGCACTACGATTGAAAGTTAGTTTGACATCAGTTAAGTTGAGACAGAGGAAATAAGCTACCGTGAAGACGCATCCAGGGGGAATTATCATTTTACAAATTTACCGTCTGACTTTTGTGCAAAACTTGTGAAAGTCTATATTTAACAAATCGACAACAATTTTCCTTGGTCTCTACTTTCGTCGACCACAGAAATGACGTCAAATTGTTCAAAACCCAAGTGGAACACTGCAAAGTTTTGCAAAAAATCGCTCTGTTATTGTAAAAATCGGTTTTCAGCTTCATTGTTTAGTCAGACTACAAATCCCTAAATGTTGTAAACGTTTTTTATTTATTGCTGGTTTAGATTTTTCGGTTATTATTTACAGTTTGGAAAGCTACGTTAATCTACTCAAGTCTACGTACCTGAAATAGTATGAACAGCGAACCATAACATGTTGATTAAAAGAAAGACAATCAAGTTTCCTTTCATGGCCATCTGAAATTAAGGTAACAAGACATATCACATTTCGATCGTTCTTAGAGGTTCTTTTACCTCCACGCTGCATGAAGGATATTACAATCACCTGCGTGGTAAGTTTCTCTGTAGGGAGCCCAGTAAGCAACGACGACGGTGACGGAAACGAGAAAGGCAAAAAAGCAATAGGTTTAAAATACAAAATAACAACATTACACGTGCATCACGCTTTTTGCTACATTTCTTTGCCGTAGTGACGACGTGAACACAGGTAAAACTGCCTAATTTCACGTTTTGTGGGGGACGTAAACACAAGACAACGACCCTCTTTTTCTTTTCTTGAACTTTGATATAGTCCTTTAGAATTCAACTCCAGAAACATTCGCCAACATTCAAGAGAATTAACGAGATGGAATAACCGCGATAAAGTTCACAGCCGTGGGAACACACTTTTTGACTGGAGTGTTCGTAGCCGTCACCTTCGTTGTTGCTCAAGCTCCTTTAATCAAAAGCAGACAGCAAAACACTAGATTATTACGGCTTTTAGTCGCTTTGTGCGTTTTTTGAAGACGCTTAAGTTGTCGATAAGCTATAACTCCATACAGCCATCAATGACAGTCTTTAAGTGTTAATAGTGTTTATTTGTTTGTCTTTTTCGTTTGTCTTAAACAAACAAAACAGGCGGTGTTTTAACACATATTTTCAAGGAGAATTCGAGGAATGAACTCGTCACACATTTTTAGCAATGATCATAAATATCGTTGATATTTTCTCGTAAAATTAAGCAAACGAGTACTAGGTCGACTGTCTGACAGCATGCTCCGCGGCTATAAAATTTAACATAGCGCGTATTGTACGAAAAGAACATTTAATCCCCTCGACTTTGAGAGAGTATAAATTAAATTATAAAGACCAATTTTTCTTCAAAATGCTAACAGAAAAGAAAAGAAAAAAGATGTCTAAAAGTTCTACATTGCTCACTGACAACAATTTGTCCACAAACTACATCATTTGTCTCGTATAACTGACTCGCGGGCGGGTCAGTTTAAACCAACTGAAGGATTCGCTGGGTTTAACGAATTCCATTGTTGTCAGGGAACGAAATGAAGCTGCTGCCGAAATTTGTTATCCTTTACAAACCACTAAATTAAAGAAAAAGCATCAAACTGCGTTACCCTTGGAATAACTGTACAAAAATATACAAAATGACAGTACGCACATGTTCAAAAATGTAAAAATACAATGCCCAGGTTCGAACTATCACTCTTTCAACCTTTTCTTTCTATGAGGCAGCCTGTGATAGGCATAAGAAAGATCAGCGTGTCTAAAATAATCGATGTTTTTTTTTTCTTCTGATCCCTGATATTTCAGGGGAGAATACGTTTTTTCTTCTAACATTCATGTGGCTTTCTGCTTAGTGTTTGAATATCTATTTCCGTCTTAAACTAGTCCTACTACCAAAGAGCAGGCTCAAGGTTTGCTGTTTACCTCACAATCAGCAAGTTGCTGCGATGCCAACCCGCTTGCTCCAAATCAAAGAGTGAAAAGACTGCTGGCGATCACCAATGTTTGTCAAAATCGACAGGGTAGGTTTGAAGAACACAGAACGCACCTTTAGACCACCAGTCTAGAGATAATATTCTGCACTGACAGACTTACTTCATACACAAAAATTCTAAATCAAGTTGTTTTCTTAAAGTAATTATTTACATACTGATGGTTTGACCCGAGTGACAGTGAAAACAAAAATGGGCATTTTGAATACAGGTGATGACAGTGGGTGGTGGTTGGCACTCCCAGAACTTTTAAGCGCGGAGCGAACTCTTATCTGTGGCTACAAACAGGGGGTGGGAAAGGGTGGGAATGGAGATGGAAAATGGGTTAAGATAAACTACTGTGGAGGTTTCACCAATAAATCAACTAATCAACCATAATTTTGACTTTGACCATAAAAGTAATAAAAATCAACGATGAATGCAATCAATTACTAACCATACATGTTATAACCATATATAACGTAATCTGGTTCACTATAAATGTAACAAGCATGGAAAATCGTATGAAAGCGAGTAGATTTCGTTAATTCTATAGCCGTTTCATATGGATAACAATAATTTTGTCCGAAAATGCAATAGGTCAGTAGACCTTCCAGGCACAAAATTAATCAGCTTATAGTTATTACTTTTGTTTTGTTTTACAGTGGCTGTTAAGCAAACGACCAACTGATTTTGTTTCTCCAGTTATAAGCACCCAAACACATCCAAAGATCAATTGCTTACGAACGCATAAAAAACTGCGTAAGTGTTATGGAAAAACAATTCCAAGAAGATAGTTGTTTAATGAGGGAAAAAGATTTCTTCACCGTCTGTTATCTGTGTTACACTTTCTCAAGGCCGACGGCTCGAAATTCTTTGAACAGCTGCCCGTCTTATGACCCGACGTACCTAAGAAGTTAGTGAAGCTCTCAACTGCACTGTGAACCAGTGTTGTTAGCAAGATTAAAATAAAACACTCGTTAAAATAACGGAAGAAGTCATCTTCAAACAATCACCTAAACGAACATCACTAGTTATGTGCAGCCGAGCTACATCCATCGCATGAAATTAAAAGATGCATCTGATGACACTCACCAAATACGAATTTCTTACGAAGGCTCGGGAAAACTTCGTAAATAGAAAAGATGAAGAAGAAGAACAAACTCCTAGGTGATCAGTGAGGGAGTTACAACACAAATGCTGGGGTATGAGAAAAGGTGCCATTACTAGATTCCTGCTACTTTTATTCTCAAGTTTGAAGATTACTAAGTGCATTTCTACACACTTCTATACCTTTTTGCAATATTGTTTATACTCTGAACATATTGCATACTGACATTCTTACCATACAAAACCAGGCTTCCAGCAACATTTTTCACATGCACCTAGCCAAGCAGCCATCGTTACAACCTGGATCTTCGTCAGGGTCAGCCAACATTTTAACACGTTACAAAGAAGCGCACACTCGAAATTCCTTTTCCCCGGCCCCTGAG